AACTTCATTCACGTTAACTCAAAGTTCAGGGGGAAAAAAATGTCTTAGTCACACCTAAAAACGTGAGCTCCCCTGAAAGGCATAGTATTGGTCGCATAGAATTTACCAACAATTTGAAGAAGATATAAACATACTTACTTGAAATTCCAGCCAGTATATTGTGATTATATTATACCATTTAAGATTGTGAAATAGCTCAGTGCTCTGGTAGGTTATATTGTGTTTTAATAATTCAACTGATGCAGCTGACCCTGTGTACTCTATTGGCCGCAGTCTATTTCAGAAATACAGACTGTACGAGCTCCTCTGCATCCACCAGAGAGAGCTACTGGCAGCATGGGAGGTTGGAGCAGCTTGACTGTAGTGTGTGGGTGTGTGTTGTGTGGTGTGTTGGTCTGTTGTGTGTGTTGGTTGATGAGAGTGTGTGTGTGCATCGTGCATTAGATTAAAAATTAACATTTTCAAACATGCTGTTTTCCAGAGACTGTTGAGGTGTTCGGCTGTCCAGGAAACTACTCCACTGGAAGAGGCATTTCCTCTCACCTCTACTCCCAGTAAATGGCCTGGTATGCAGAAAAATGGACAGGTGATTATGGACAGATGGACAGCATCGCTGTGATTTCTTTATTGACCACAGTAGGGCGTCGTCTGTCTGTGGAATCAGACTACATAAGCAGTCCACACTTCAAGTTTAGCCTTATTTCTGTACCATTCACACCCCATGTTATTAGAGTGATCACATAGCAGATGATTGCAATCAAGGCTAATATTCAGACTTTGTAATGTCATGGTAAAGCGTGCCCCATGTTTTCCTTCACAATAGATTGGTTGCCTGTTGACAAAAACTAATAATAAAACAAGCCTTTCCTGGAATGTGCAAATGGCTTCATATATATATATAAGATATTGTTCATCATGTCTAATGCATTGTACACTGATTTCAGTTTCTCTTTGTGTATGTAGTAAAACAAACTAGGACCTAGTCTAGTAATGACCAACATAGGATGATTCATAACCGGCACCTGAAAATGATCTGCAGCATCTTAAAGGAATGGTTCAGTTTCTCAGCTAACACACTTATGAGAAGGTTGTCATCTGTCTCGTGTGTGTAAAGTACGGAGCTGAAGTCAGGATGTGGAAACAGCTAGACTGGTCCGGGGGTCAAAACTACACACATTTACTAATTAACATGTTGTATCTTGT